AGAGAGAGAGAGAGAGAGAGAGAGAGGGAGGGAGAGATTGGGAGAGAGAGGGAGAGAGAGAAATAGTGGGAAAGAGAAAGAGAGGGGGGGGGAGAACGTTTATGACGTGGAGCGGTGTAAGCATGTAATAATAATGTAATAATTATAACGTTCTCGTTTGTTGTGTACATGGGTGAGAGCACAATATATGACCTTTTTGACTCCATTACCAAATGGTCCACCAGTTGGTGTTATCACCCAGGTCGGCAAGCACAGCTGAGTTCGTTTGTCTGCTTTGTTTGTTTGTTTGTGTAAAGAGCACATCGACGCAATAACGGTCATTTGGTGCTGAGAAAAAGTAAGACAGACAGACAGAAAAAGAAAGAGGAAAACTAAAGAGGAAGCAAGGCCTACCAGTGGCACCCTCCAACCACCCGCTAAGCACTGCCTTAGAAAAGGGACTACCTCAAAGTCAACAAAAACAGAGCAGTGCTTGGCACGTGAGTGTTTTTAGTTTTAGTAAGAGTTTTACGGCACTTGCAAAACAATAAGGTTATATAAGTACCGAAGATTAGAAGTGTTACACGTGAGTAACAAACACAAAAACGGAGGAGAAATAAATAAGGACGGCAGATGTTTGACAAGAAAGAAGGAGCAAAACCTCACCAGAGCACCCACCAGCACACGCGAGTTCGTCTTTTTAAACGCTTTTTGCGTTGGGTAGGGTTTGGGGGGTGTTGTCAAAACGAACACCCCCAATTTAAAATTCATATCGGGCAACTTAATCGGTTTAACCCATGCAGGATATCTCGTGCCGCCGACATAATTTTTTTAAAAAGGGTATCCAACAGCCTGGCGAGCATAAAACAGGAAGGAACCGCATAAAAACAACAACGACAGCTTTTCATTCTGAATCGTCCAGAGAAAAGACAGGTTTAGCCAACGCCAGGCAGAACAGAACGCTATCACTGAATGCGGCAAGGCCATTATCTAAAAGTAGGCTACAAAAGCGTTTCATAAAAACAGAGGAGATTTAAAAAAAAAAAAAAAAAGAACAGAAATCCACGAATACATCATGATTAACCAAGAGAGGGAGAAAAAACAAAAAGAATTCGAAATCAAAGGCAAAACTCGGTCACCTATTCAAAATACACCAACCGGTACGTCATGTAGCGGTGCAAGTGCAGCCCCCCTAAAAAAGCATCAAGGCAGACGGGACGTGGAACCAGTAAACATTCACGGTGTGGGGAACAAAGGAGGCCTTCAAATCTACAGTTTGCTCTCCCCCTTCGTTGTTGCTGTAGTTGTTTTGCTTGTAAAAATCTGTTTTGTTTTGTCTTATTTTTGTTGTGGGGTTTGTTTGTTTGTTTGTTTGTTTTGTGTGTTTGTTGTTTTGGAAGGGGGGGGGTGAAGTGGATTATTTTTGCAATATATTTGTCTTTTCGTTGAGTTATATAATTTGTCTTTTGGTGAGGGGTGGTGCGTGTGTGTGTGTGTGACAAAGAGAGGAAATCATGTGAGGGAGAGGAAGGACAAACAACAAGTTTGTTTTTTTATGCAAATCATCGACGCGGACAGAAACAAAAAGACAAGCACAGCATTGCTTTCTCGTGACAATCACATGATGCCTTAATTTTGATACAGCCAGAAACTGTGACGTCACACGCCTCAAGATCACATCATGCGTCAAGCAACGGTAGGCTGGAAGTACTTCAACGGCCGTATACAATCCCCTCCCTCGAGGATGATAACGGTCTCTTCCTCTCAGCACTGGCCCACCGCCAGAGCTTCTTGTGTGAAAAAAAAAGGTTCCTCTAGATCTAGGCCTCGCCAAGGAGGAGGCAAAGCAGGTGGGGAACACGTCGACGTCTGGCTCTCCGAGTGAGTCTGAGAGCTGAGAGTCTGCTGCATTGGCATGGGCTCACCAAGTGCTTGTTTGTTTGTTTGTTTGTTTGTTTGTTTGTTTGTTTGTTTGTTTGTTTGTTTGTTTGTTTGTGTTCTTTGTTTATTCCTTTTTCCCTTTGCTTAGTTGAGATAGTTCAGAAAGCTCTTTCTCACCTCGAGAGGAAGTATATTTAAATAAGTTTGTTTGCTGGTTTGTTTGTTTGTTTGTTTGTGTGTTTGTTTGTTAAAATTTCCTACGCCTGGTTTGTTTGTTTGTGTATTTGTTTGTTAAAATTTCCCATGCCCAAACCAAAATGAACAAGGGAGAAAACGATTTTTAAAGTTTTAGTATTCGTTTTTTAGCTTTACGACACTTAATAAAACACAAATAAGTGCTGATGACTAAATGTGTTACAAGACAGTAACGGGATACACAAAAGAAAAGAAGGAGAGATAAGAACGATAGATGTCGTCATAGGAGAAAGAAGGACCGCCAACGATCCTCTCACCAAATGCACTCCTTACATAACGGATTCATCATGAACAAGCTAAAAAAAAAAGAAAAAAAAAAGAAAGAAATAAAGGCAAGTTCCGAGTTGAAGTGTACATATTCAGGATGCATTTTCGAAAATGAAAAAAAAATAATAATAATAATAATAACTTGATAAACAGAACAGGGAAGAAGGAGGCTGAAACGGCATCTAATCTAGACATGGATAGCTGGCGCCTCCATTATAAATAAACTATTAGTGGTTGAGGTTTAAGGTCATGAACAGCCCGACACACGTCCTGCGATGTGCCCACGCAAGCAACAATCAATACATTTTAATGCAGCCTACTTCCACTTGGTTAAGTCTGATAGATTCTTGCATTATTAAGGTGTGTGATTAACCGATGATGTGGGTAATAATGTAGGAGAATAGGAGGAGGGAAGAAACGAATGAGTGACATGCACTGACTACCAGCTGAAGAAAGACAGTGTGTGAACAAGTTGAAATAGTAACGTTCGCTTTTGCAGTTATAAACCAGAAAATGCAGCTGTTGTTTTCGCGGGTTGTTGTTGTTGTTGTTGTATTCCTGTTCTTGTTGTTGTGTTTGTTGTTGCTGTTTCTGTTGTTGTTGTATTCCTGTTCTTGTTGTTGTGTTTGTTGTTGCTGTTTCTGTTGTTGTTGTATTCCTGTTCTTGTTGTTGTTGTTGTATTCCTGTTCTTCTTGTTGTTGTTGTTGTATTCCTGTTCTTGTTGTTGTTGTTGTTGTTGTTGTTGTTGTTGTTGTTGTTGTTGTTGTTGCTGTTGTTCATTTGCAATCGCTTCGAAAGGGGAGGAACATAAGAAGCAGACATGACCAAATATGACGAGGGGACAAAGTATACCAAAAAGGCGGAGCCAAAGCACTCATTATCAACATCCATCCACTGTAAACAAAGGGGGGGGGGGGGGGAGAAGTCTACATGGAAGGAAGAAACAGCACAGTCATATCCTGACTGCAAATACACGTAGATATAGCATTATAACAGAATCACACAGATTTCGACACAAAATGAAATATCCCTTACTCTGAATATCTTGCACAATCGATGAACATAATAACGATACCCCTTCAAAACACAGGGAATATATCACCATAACTTATTTCAAACAGCTTAGAAGTACACCACACCACAGAATTTCACATCGTAACATCAGAACGTGCAATCGTTCGACGAACATTTTTTTTTCTCCCGTTATTTACGTCACTTGGGTCAGTGCATGGGCTACTCCGGGAAAAATCCGCATGTCACTGAGGGGTCAAATACATGTTAGCACCAGACGGCTGAAAGAAGCGAGAATAAAGCCACCACCCACACAAAGAAGGAACAGCTGAGAAGAATGTCCTCCAACAAGCACCTACACATACGCGCACACAAGAGGCTAGCGGAAAACTGAAGAGCCCACTGACACAGGGCGAAAGAGAGAAAGAGAGTAGAGAGAGAGAAGGGGAGGGGAGGGAGGGACAGGCAATGAGAAAAAGAGAGAGAGAGGGGGGGTGGAGGGGAGAGTGGGGTTTTGGTCTCTCTTCCACTGTACCGGTGGAAGAGTCGGAGCCACACGACGACGCACGAACGGCCGAACGGACGGACCCAGCGAGAGAGGCGAGAGCAGGCGAGAGGCGAGGAGGAAGAGGAGGAGGCTTTTAGTGGTGGTGGTGTTCAACAGCAGAAGCAGCAGCTGACTGGCTTATTACTCGCTGCTGCTAGTTGGAGGGAGGGGAGGGGGCGG